CATGAAATGTGCTTTCCACTGACGTGAGAAGAGTAAGTGTCTGATAACCTTTTGACCCCCAAGAGAATGGTTAAACATGGATTTGTTGACTGTTAACAAAGGAATGAACTGCTTTTGCTATTAGAGCCCCCTTCACCCGCCCCTCCCCCCAACCTCCCCCACCCTCTCCCACACTCGCGCTCGACGCATATCCATGATAACGTTAATATAGCGAAGTCATTAAAGCGACACAGCTATATCTTTATTACTGTACTACCGGTATAGCAAAGCCTATCAACGCGGTGGCGGGAGGGCGCACTTGATTCGGTTGCCAATGAGTTTATCAGAAGAACAGCCGGCTACAGTACACGTCAGTTGAGCGCTGTCGCTCTGCGGCACTTGTTGTGTTTGAAATGTGTTCAGACTACTTTGCAGAAATTCGCATCATAGAGCTGGCAAAAGTTTTGAGTGGAGCATAGAGCATGAATCTGTAGTTATGTAACATGAATAAAGTGTATCTTGTGTATGCAAAGTAACAATGTGAGTATTTTTAATTAATTTCTGTTCGATACTTATTCAGGCCTGCCGCCTATGGACGCCCTCTACTGTTGTTCACCACCATAAGTCGACACTGCGTGTTCTGCGCATGCGCACCTAACCGTCACGTCATATGACGTCATCCGGTAAATCCTTCAACCGGAGTTGCGGGAACGGGACACTTGCGTCTTGACGTCGAGTACCACTACTACTACTAGCTATACATATTAACACAGTTTCTGTGCTGCTATTGCTATCTATAGTCTTCAAAGTCCAAGGGAGTATATCGAAGACGGAGAGACAAGTTAATAAAGTCGACAGATCAACACTTACTTTCTTAGACTTACTTTCAGTGTATTGTTATCTTTCAGAAAACTTCAGTGCAACAGCCAACACCGCATCGCAGGATCTTTAGACAGTAAATTGAGTAATCTTAAAAGGTAATATTCACACATATATTCACTGTCTTGACTTGAGTGTCCTACGTGCTGGGCGTACTAGTTTAGTTCATCAATAGCAAGCAGCTCACGTACGTTACTTCGTTTACTTACTTAGTTTTGCAAGTGTTTAAACATTATGTTCTGAGGGTCTATGTTAACCGATAATTATTCTTGTTGTTTGTGCACAGTGGCATGCGTGCGGTGTACTTGTGTGTTGCAGATGAGCATTTGAATGGCATTTACAGGAAGTTATCGGCAATAATAGGCGAAATAGAGTAGAGAAACATGAAGACTTTGGTAGTAAATACATTTCGTGTTTATTTACTATTATTTTTTTTATTGAGACGTTCCAAGTGCCTGTGGGCAGCCAGGTAACAACAAAGTTACTTACCGACTTATCGAGCTAGTTTAGTTAGTAGTTGTTTGTCGTCTTTTCGAAGTTCTAATTTGTGAACATCATCCCAACAAGGTTGAATACGCGTTCCACCGTCTAACGACGTGTCCGTGCGACTTGTTATTCGTATCGTATGTTGTTGATATGGTCGTATCGGGGAGCAGCGGGTTCATTAGAAACTTCATAGATATCATCAAGAGTAGATAATAACAAATTATGTGTTATTATCTACTCTTGATATCATGTACGACACGAGGAGTGAATAATCATATTAGATATAGAATATTCTATATCTATGGAAATTAATCATCATGCACGCGCGCGCATACACACGCACACGCACACACACACGTCGCACGTGATGATATTACTTATTAGTTCTTGATATGACATCTATGCCGGTCCCTGCCATACGGTCACCGTCGTGGATGGAAGTACAGAGCCGTTGGCTTTATACTCTGTAATATGCAGTGCTATCAATTTGTTAAACTTGTCTCTCTTTGCGTTCGGTATAGTCCCTTAATTACTTTGAAGACTAATCCTTAAACAAGGTTACGGTAATGTAACCCATTAGAGTACATGCATATATCGATGATGGTTGTTAGTCTATGATATGGGTTGATGTTTATTATTCTATTGGGTTACGTTTTTGTATTGAAGTAGAACCCCACAATAACGCTCCCAGTAATCCAGTCACTGCATGCAAGCAACCCAGATGAGAGACCAGATACCAGAGAAGCGTCGCCTGAGAGGTGTTGATCCTGCCCGCTAAGCGCAGATCTTGCGCGCAGTTCCGCGGCAAGGCGCACGCGACTGCGGGAACGTCCTACGAAAGTATCACGCACTGGCAGATATTGATCCATGCGCCAAATCGAAAGGCCGGCGCACGGATCAATTGCTGCCAGCGAACAGTCTCGAATTTTAGCGGGCATTAAAGCAATAATTATGTTCGTATCATCTGTAATGTGATTACCATCACAATACTATCTGTTGTTGTGTAGCATGCTCTGTACATGTATGTGTGTGCATTTTTGGAAATAAAGTACATTATAAAAAATAAAAAAAATTTAGCGGGTCTAATTCACTAGCTTATATGTGACCCGCTCCAGCATAATACGGACTAAGTCGCAACTCATTGTTTTGAGGAATGAGCACGCACACATGTCAATGCTGAAAATGGCCTACCTGGACAAAAATAAGTTCCTAAGTGCATATTTAATCTGGATATATAGGTTCAGATATCTCTAGATTATTATAGTCATTTTTAATTAAAAAAATAAAATAAAATAAAATTTTTTTGAAGGGCCCTTGACCGCTCATCCCCGACTGGGCCCCTTACACGGAACGCTTTATCTCAAAAGCTGCATATTCCGGAATAAGTCGGTTTCCGATCTTCAAATTGCTGTAGATCGGTCAATTCTTTATAGATATATCCAAATATATATATATCATTTAAAGGTAATTAACATTATTATTCGTATATGCGCACATAACTCCAATTTGTAGAATTTCCTACTTAATCCTGGTTTTGCTGGAGCGGGTCACATATGCACACGCCATCGCGCAGGTCTAATAGCGATGTTTCACGTGACGTCATAGATCAGGTCACGTGTATTTTATGTGTTGTGGTTGGCAGAGCGAAGGGTTGCGCTTGCACATTTATACAGCATGAATAGACCGACCACACGCTCATGTCGATCAGAAAGCGCTGTTTATGTAGTGCACGTACAACGCGCTTGCGTGTGCCACGTACACCGTGCGTGCCGACTGCGTGTGCACGTACACGGTGCCGTGCGTGTGTGTCGTGCGTGTGGCACGCTACACATCGCGTGCATGCTTGCGTGCGTGGCCTGGGCACGGTACACGTGCGTGCATGAGTGTGTGGCAGTCGCCGTGCTGCGCCACTACACGTGGCGTGGCTGTGCCGTCGCGGTCCGTCGTTGTGTGGCCAGCGTACACGCGCTGCGTGCATCGTGGCAAACCGTATCACGTATGCGTGCGCTGCGTGCGTGGTGAACTCTACAACGTGCGGCTGCCATCGGGGTGCATGCGTCGCCGTTCGCGGGTGTGCACGGTACACTGCTGCCGTGGCGGGCGCGGCGTGCAGCGTACAGCGCTTCGTTGCCGTGCGTCTGCCTGCTGCGCAGCGTACACGTTCGGATTGTTGCGTGCGTGCGTGCGTGCATGCATGTGCACGTAGACGTGCGTGCGTGCGTACGTACACGTGCGTGTGCTTGTATCGAACAATATCACGCATCTGCTTGCTGCCAACCGTTAAACTCCGCATGTGCGCATATGACGTCAATGTTTATAAACATGGAACATTGCTATTGCATGAGAATCACTGAAGAACTGCTCCGTCAATCACGCGAAACGCAAGAGAAATTCAACGGCGGCGAAATATACAACTGAGTTACACACACGCAGCTAGGGCCTGCATAGCTCCCAAATCCCATTGGTTGATACAAATCACGTACCTCAAACTCCTGTTTTATGGTGCATTGTGACAATAACCCTAACCCTAACCCTATAAACCAAAACAAATTATTTGTTGTTATTAAATTGTTGTAAATAAATCATGTAAATATGGATAAACATAGAAAAATACAGAAAACAGGAAAATAATGAAAAAACAGATGGGATTCGATCCAACGACATTTCAGCCGTGCCGTCTCTGCTCTTAGGCGTTCAGCTATCAAGGCATTGGGTTTTTGTGTTATGGATGTGCCTTGACAACACTGTGGCGTCATTGAGGAGTTTGAGGCACGTGATTTGTATCAACCAATGGGAATTCGGAGGGCCACGTCACAGAGTAAACATCGTGATTGGCATTCGGTGGGCGTAGCCATTGAGGTAATTAGGGTTATTTACGTTTTATTATAGTTTTTTGTGCGGTTTTAAATCCCAAAAGTTTTCAACGATGCTACCATGACATGTTTACCAGCAAACGCTGTGTCAAGTCAGTGACTGTTGCTCACGAATTGAGATTAGTCGAATTCCCAGGTGATTCTGGTATGATTTATCCCTGTCTTGTAAAAATGGCCAATAGGGGGAGCGTGCCGCTGCATATAAACTCAAACCTTCGGTTTGCACAAGGACGGGGCGTCCGGGGGGGGGGGCACAGTAACGTCCAGGTGAAGCCATTTATAAAGCGATAATCGCTTGGCACCTTTTCTCTTCTTATTTCTCTGTTTTACTCTTGTTTAAACTTCCTATAAGTAATGATGTATAACGGTTACCCTAAAAAGAAAGAAGTAATGTATCAAGAGCATGTATGCATGTCACGTCCCAACAACAGACGGTTATGAATGGGATCCATCTTAGATAATAAAACACAGTTTACATCAACATAGTATATTACTATTATTATTATTATCAAATCTTTAATGAATATAATTCAAATACAAACACACCTACTCAACGGGTTTTCCACATGAAGAAAAAATCTGATGGATGGAATAAATTTATGAAATTTTCTTGACGATGGCATTTTTTCCTATAGACTGTAAATATGAGTTGAACATTAAATGATTTTACACTGTGTAATGGCTGCATACATGTCATAGGCTACATATTCAATCACGTAGATTGAATGAAAATCCATGACTGCAATATGTGGTACGAGACCAAAAAATGGCAATACTAATTATAGTCCCGCATGTGTTCTGGTGCATGCTACACAGCGACTCGCTTGTTACACTTGTTAGGCGAGGCTTTAGAGGTGCTGTGCTTACCTGGGTGACGGGACCTTAAGTGCCAGTTCATGGAGTTCCTCTGCCTACACGCGTAATCACAGAACTCACACTCTAGGGGCAGCGCGTCGGTGTGCCTCAACATGTGCACATCGAGGTGCCTGCCCTGATAGAATGCTTTGCTGCAGCCAGGGTACGGACAACTGAAGTTACGCGCGCGATTTTTATCATGTCTTTTAATGTGTTTCTCTAAGCGCTTTTTTAGGCTGAATGCTTTCCCACATCCCTCCACTTTACACAAGTGCTTTTTTGCTTCGTGAATATTGTTAATGTGGTATTTCACAGAGTATTTATTTGAGAATAGTGCATTACACACCGGGCATGGGTATTTGGAATCTTTTTTCTCGTGGCAATGTTGTTTGTGACTTTGAAACTTGGTAATAGTATAGAAGAATCTTCCACACTTGTCGCATACTCTCCTAATACAACCGTTGCATTTCTTCTTGTGTTTAGCCATTTTATGTTCCATGCATTCTCTGCCACATATATTACAATGTATCATTGTCACTATTTCGGGTTCTGTAGCTTTTCTTTTACGCGTCTTTTTCGTTTTGTGATCATGGACGGGAACTGCAGGCTCTGCTTGTACACTAAGAGATGCAGTTGCAATCTGCTTGTCAGCTGGCAAAGTCTCATCACAACCAACACTACGATCTCTATCTGTAAATAAAAAACACATAGTCAGAAATCAAACAGGGTAGCCCTATATATGCATATATACCACTGCTATGGCAACTACCAAGCTGTAACTTACTTACAATGTGATCATATACAGTTGTACATAAAATGTCACCATATTTACTTACCAATAGTTTTATTTGCATACATGTGTTCACACTCCAGTACACACTCCACCTCAGCCTTGCTGCAGATCTCACAGTGCAGTTGATTTAGGGCTGAAGGTGTCTTATGTTGATCTTTGTGAGCTCTAGGTTTACTTGAAGAAGTAACAGTATGCACTGCTTGTGAGCTGACAGGCAATGGTCCAACGTGCCCTTTGTCTAGCAAAACCGGACCACCACTGGCATAAGGTTTTGAGATAACCAGCACAGAAAGCTTATTCTTCGTTGCAACATGTTCAGATGTAACAGTGCTAATATCAACGCTGGCACTTGAAGTTGTCATGTTCTGCAACCGTGTCTCGTGCACAACCTTTGTAGCTGGCAATGATGCATCACTACATGTCCCAAGAGGAGTGGCTGCCTCCATTACCGCCATCGACAGCTCTTTTTTCACTATACTGTCACAATAATTGTGATCAGATGTCATTGTGCTAACATCAACACTGTCACTTGAAACTGTTGAGTTCTGCAACTGTGTCTCGTGCACACAAGTAGCTACTATGCCTGCATCTAAATACTGAGGCAACACAGCTGTGGCTAGCAATGGTGCACCACTAGATTTCTGTATAGGAGTGGCTGCCTTCATTACTACAGCAGAGAGCTCTTGCCCTATATTGTGTTCAGATGTTGTGCTAACATTAACACTGTCACTTGAAGTTGTTGAGTTTTGGAACTGTGTCTCGTCCACGTGAGCAACAACATTTCCACCATCTGGACACAGAATTACAATATCTGTGGGCGTCAATGCCGGAGCAATAGACTTGTAGATCCCAGTTGGAATGGCCACCTTTTCTACAACTGTATTTGTGTTGCACAGTTCTTTGTTGGTCTCAATTGGTATCACAGTGCTTGGTCCTGCGGATATAGATTAATAATGCATCAATGTATTAATAACTTCTAGTATTATTGACACTAAGAGTAAGAGTAAGAATTAGATTAAAAATGTAGACAAATGCTTACATGAGAATTAAAGTGAATTCAAATTCATGTATCTATACAAATGATGAGGAACTAATACTGTCCAAAATATTTTAAAAAATAACTTAATTCTTACTATGATATAGGGTGCGAAATTAACGGGAGTCCGGAGTCAAATACTCCCTGATTTGACATATGCAGGAGTCCGTGTGACTCCCTGGAAATTCTGCCATTCTACCTAGTTCGTACCGTATTTTTCCAGTAAAAGTCCAAAGAAAATAATTTGGCAGACGTGCAACCGCATGAATCTTAAAAATAAGCACGTGTGTTATTGTTATATCTTTAATTTTGAACTTCAGACTGCGGACCCCGGACTCATTGTGCTGCGGACTCCCGTGTTCAAAAGTTAATTTCTACCCCTTTGATATAATTATTAGTTGAGCACAAAATATTGCTATGTATTTAGTACTATTTACGCACCAACATCTTTATCTGGAACATGAGTTTCACGATCCAGTTCTAGGTCGTCGGTTCTAGTTGTACTATCACTGAAATGATTAAAGTGCATAATTGAGACGAATAGGCATGTTAACTCTGGTTGCAAATGTTGTTTTGTTTCACCGCAAAATATGGTTTATGCCCAGGTAGTACAGATATATAATCTAGGCAAGATTGAGAAGAATAGTCACATATGTATTACTACTTGGCTTGTTCATGATACCAAGATGAAAGCACACATACTTCTGCCCGTGAAACCAGCAACATATATTGGCACATTATGTCACATAGCAAATAACTATTATCTCTAAATCTTATAATACTTATACTTAACGTTACCATGTATGCATGTCGGATTACAGATTTCATGTGGTTCCACATAAACATTAGCAGCCAGGTACCGACTTAAATTTCGCAACGGCGCTGGGTTATTCTCGGAATTGGTGAAGTAACTAAGAGCGTGGAGTAATCATTCTGACTCCTCCATGTACCCTTCCAGTAATGATTACTCCAAGCTAAGAGTGACTGTTTAGATCCATGAGTCCTCCCATCTACATATATGTAG